ACGAAACCTGAGAGGAGAAGCTCTTGGGAGCTAGCCGGAGACTTTGCCGAGAAGAACGGCGCCGTCGACCTGAGATTGGATTGCTAAAGTTTCGCCGCGAGAGAGAAAAATTGGGGGCGCGTGTCTTTCACGTATTCAGGAACCTCCTTATGGAACATCATTATTAATATTATAATTGATATTTAAGGGTCTAACTTTTATTTTAACTAAAATTAGTTAGAAATAAATAGATTATGTTTATATTATTTTGTCATTCTAATGTTTTTTTATATAAAAGTATTACACAGAATATATCATGAAAGACTAATGAATGAGATTGATGTTATGATGACTACCAATGGATGTTTTAAGGGGTTAATGAACGAGACAAGTCTCACACCACAGAATATATCACGAAAGACTTAATATGTTGTTACCTGTTAATTATCAAGAAAAAATTAAAAAGTTTAATTTGTTGCCCATAGATTAAAAGAGTGAAATTGCAATGAAGAAAACATAGAATCCAAAGGGAGACTGTGTTGACTTGGCAAAGATTCCCTTTGCTTCTTGTCATGTAATGAACTGTTTGTTTCTTCACAAGACTTGTAGAAAGAAATCCAACTCATCTTCCCCTTTTGTTCGTGAGTAGTTTCAATTTTGTTTGATTTAACAAAAAAAAGGTTTCAATATTGTTCATTCATTAGTAAATAATTTTTTTATGATTAGAAAATTTATTTTCCAAAGAGTCCAAACTATGTACTTTAATTCTTTTTTACAAAGCAAATTCTTCCTATACGAATGGAATATGTGAATTCCAAAATCTCTACGTTTTTGGTAATCCAATTGTTTAACTACTATACTAATTCATAGTTGATATAAAAATATTCAAAGCAATTAGTATATGTTTACTTAAAAAATAATATTTTGAAATTTAATTAAAATTATAATTGGCTGTTAAATGATAGATGTTACATAGATGTATCTACATCTCTAATATAAGATTCTCAGTTTTTAATATCTATAATTTTATATCACATAGCTTGTATACTTTGGCTATAACGCACCCAAAAATAAATAATTTATCATAATTTCCATGTAGTTTAAAATTGTTTATGAAAATATAAGCAGCCAAAATATGGTAACATATTTGATGTGTACTTATGATAACTTTAGATTAAATTGAATATTTATGAAAATAATATTTAAATATACTCTTACTTTCTTACAATTTAGAAAAATATAATCTCATATAGTCGCATTATTTTGAATTTGACAGGCTAGTTTAAGTTTTTCTTATATTTTATATTTGCATAGAGTTTTTAAAAACAACTTTTGCATCGTCCAAAGCAATGTTTTCTGTATTATAGGCGTTTTGTTTGTCGTTATATGTTCGTCTCCTAGTCTTCAACGAGTTAGGCCAAGTAGGGCATGGCCGTTTTATTTTCGTCAATTTTGTCGCAAAAACCACTATCAGCATCACACTAGATTGGCCAACTCCACAAATATAATAAGATTTCAATATATGTAAAAACATGGATCCACTAAGGTTCTCGAAAACGTCAAAAACATTAGGAGCAAAAGCCAAAAAGTAAATCGATGATTTGGTTGACAATAATCTTTCTGACGCATGAAGCTTTTCCTTCTCCTCTTTTTAGTTTTTGATTTCGTATCAAACCTATGATGCATTATCTTATCACTAATCCCTTCGTTGATTTTACACCTACCCCAATCATATACATCTATGGATGTGCATGTGCAACTTTAATAATGACGTGTGCCGTATATAGAATGAGACTAATTCCAAGTTGGGTAATCCAGTTAATATGACATTTTTTATATTTAGAAAGATTTGTATTTAATTTCTAAGATACTAGATTGGTAGTTGATAATATGTTTATCGAACTTGTAAGATATTAATACTTCATATTATTAACTTTGAACTTATGGTCATTTTTGAATTCGGGTCCAAAGAAAGTTTTGTAATACATCACAATTAATTACAAAAAAAAAAAAAATTGAAGGGTGGGATCAAAACACCTAAACTTTATAGTACAGACTTTTAGACTTTTCTAAATACCAAAAACATAGAAATACATATGTAAATTAGTCATAGATTCTACATCATAACAGAAAAGAATTTCACTATCGAAAAACACTTGAAATTATCGTAGAGATCCTTAATAATTAGCACCATGGTTATATTTTTTCTTTCAAGAATTAGTTTTATTTTGGCTGATATATTTTTGAAGATATTTTTCTTAAAAACAGCCTTGGACAAACAACCACTAATTGTACCATGGTAGAACACTGTTAGACTTTTTCTTAAGAAGATAACTCTTTATTTTAAGAAAATATATAGTAATCTTAGAAATAACTTGTTATCGAAGATAGATCTTTTCAACAGTTCAGTTAATCTTTACCTCTATTAGATTTTTTTTTTTAATCTAGTCACCCTTATCTTTCTTTTTTTAGTAAAATTTTGGACCAACAAAAAGAAATTTGTGTCATGCAAAACTCTAGGTAAAACACACTGAAATCAGAAATAAATTATTTAGATTGAAGGGATTATTGTTGATTTTGCCATTTTTTACCAAAATCTTTTGAAAATGCCATTTTTGCAAAAATCTTATGGATTTGCCATTTTCTAACACTTAAAAATGTACGTATTTCGGATTTTTTTGGTAAAAATACGTAGTTTATACAAAATACTAAACCCTAAGAACAACCACAACCGACTAAACCCAAACATAACGAATAAAACGCATGTTTCCGTAGCCTGAAAAAGGGTAAAATCCATAAACTATTCAAAAAAGGGCAAAATCCACAAATGCCATCCCAAAAAATGGCAAATCCGTAATTGATTCTAGATTGAAATAAAGTGAAACGTTAACAAATTTTTAAGATAATGGCCAAATAAAACAAAAAACAAAAGACAACTAAAAACCTCAAAAATAAAACTCCATAAATCAAGAGTGTCATAGAGAGAAATATAGAATACAACAACAACACGAGAAAGAGTTCGGCGACCGCTCTTACCGAATATAAACAAAACCAAAAATTGGAACTTATTTTCTGACTAAATAAAATTATTTATAGCTATCCTGATTGGGGAAAGGTTCCAACGGTGACCGGCTCAGTGAGCAGGCGATTTCGATCCGATAGAGAAAAGAGTCATAAACCACTAAATGTCTCGTCCAAAATTACAATCCATAGATTTAGTAATTTCGTTATGCATTTGAGAAACCTTATTACAATTCATTTCGCACGTCCCTAAATTCACATTTTTGAAAACCTTTTTGATATCAGAATATGGGCTTCCAACTCAAAACCAATTGGCAATGAGTGGAGTGGCCCATATCCCTTATATATTACTTAGGATCCCTTCCAACTTCCGATGTGAGACATTATGTCCTAATATCAGAATATGGGCTTCCAACTCAAAACCAATTGGCAATGAGTGGAGTGGCCCATATCCCTTATATATTACTTAGGATCCCTTCCAACTTCCGATGTGGGACATTATGTCCTAATACGCCCCCTCGAGATGATGGTTCTTTGGCCATTAATCTCGGAATGTTCGGGCTTAGATCGACGGCATCAATTTTGGGCCTTGTCGATGATTGGACCATCTTTGGGTCGGATCGGGTTGGACATGTGTGGATCGGGCTCTGATACCATATCAGAATATGGGCTTCCAACTCAAAACCAATTGGCAATGAGTGGAGTGGCCCATATCCCTTATATATTACTTAGGATCCTTTCCAACTTCCGATGTAGGACATTATGTCCTAATATTTGATTCCATAATTTAACATGTTCAAGCCTTAAAACGTTAAACTAAAATACCTATGGAACATAAACTTTTAGTATATTATATCTGCAGCTAAAGATAAAACACTTGAAACAATTGGGAAAAAACCTCTGCTTATCTGACGAAAAAAAACCTTGTGCTTGTCTATTGAACCAAAACCTTTTTAGGAGCAAAAAGTAAAACTATCGTTCGAAAATGAAATATATATTTTTAGTTTTTATCTATCGGTCTTGAATATTGAGCTACTATTTATAGTGTTGTGGATAAGAATTCCAAACGACTTTGATGGTGATACGATCAGCAAGCTACCGCAACTTGATATATATTTATTTCTTAAAGAAGAAAATGTTACATAGCACCCCAAAAATAAACTTATGTACTATAATGGTACCTAGGATGATTGCAAATCAAATAAATAATTTTTGGCATAAAATATGATTTTAGTGTCATCGTCCACTTTGGTAGTGACCTTCGGTTCCACATCCACTATAGAATGTGAATATGATTCCCAACACAAAATTATTGAGCAATTATGTGTATATATATATTCTAATATCCGGTTTGTAATTTTGTTTTTAGAGTTTTCGAAAAATTAGCTTGTTAGGCAAACCATTCTTAATAGTTACTTAAAAAACGAATTTTTTTTAAGATTTTCTTTATTGCCTAACAAACTATGAATTCACCAACCACACAAAAATGTTATTTTGTATGTGTGTTATGTGTCACCCGCATAAATGCAGAAATTATATAAAAAGTATATTAATGTACAAATAAGCTACTATATGTTTATTGTCTCCTTTTGATCTGTTGGCAAACTCTAATTGGTAGCCCTGGGACTTCGGTGGAATCGGGTTATTCGGTTCGGGTTGTTTGGTTTGCCTTAGATTCGGTTCTTTGAAATTTGTACTGGATTAATCCGAATTGTAATTCGGTTCGGGTTCGGTCGGTTGTCGGTTTAATCGGGTCGGTTAGTTGATGTATTTTAGCCTCCGAGAACAAATGAATATAGTGTCCAATTCGGTTAATTTAAACCGAATATGATATTTTCCAAAGTCAACACAAGCTTAACTACTACATAATGACACAAAAGAAGGAAGAACCATTACAAAACCATACATAAAGCTGTATTGGTAGCTTAAAGCTGTGTTTGTGAGTTTAAGCTACTAGTACAGACCATGAAGCTGCCAAGCTAGCATTTTATCAAAGTTTAAGCTAGCATTACTTCAAAAAACAATAACAGAACCATACAAATAACAAGTTTGCTTTAGTAGTTAGCTTACCATATGCAGATTCACAAAAGCATGTTGATTCGCACCAAAAAATTATCAAAACAGCAGCTTCAAAGTCAGTACTGTCCAAGGCTGCTTTTCTACATCAAAAGGACAAAAAACCGCAGCTTCCTACCTACCTAATAGAATCATAACAAAGACATAACATTGTAAATCAAAAACAGAATCAAATACTTAACAATGAACTACTTAGACTACAACAGAACCAGAATCATACCTGCCATACTATGAAGAATCATGTAAGAGCAATTGTTGAATTCCGAGCATCTAGACAAGAAAACAGAAACATGAGATTAGTTATAGTTAAACTTATCAACAGTTTTGAAAGGATAAAAAAACTGAATCAAAGAGAATAGTTAAACTTACCAAGTGACTCAAAAAAATCAACTTCTTCTAACATTTGGGCCAAGTTTGTTACATCATCCTCTTTTTTATAGGAACACCTTAACCATTGTTGTGTGCATATTAAAACCTCAACCATGTAAGGAGTTAAAGAACTCCTATAAGGATCCAATACCCTTCCACTCGTACTAAATGCAGACTCTGAAGCTACAGAGGAGGCTTGAATAGCAAGAACATCTTCTAGCAAATTCTGACAAGATTGGGAACTTAGGGCAATTGCGTCTCCACCAACTGAGAACATCATAAGGAAACCCCAACTTATTTTCAATTCTAGCCTCAGTTTGTTCTGTGAGATACATTTTTAACTCATTGCAACTATCATCATTACCCTTCAAGCCAACCACTTTATCAAATAATGACAGCATCCCTTCACAATCATCTTCATCATCAAATAACACAAAGTTCTCAGGCTGTGGCTGAGAATCTGGTTCTTCATTTTCTACAGGTTTGCTCAGCTTGAAACTGTAATCCTCATACATTGAACTCATGACACTTGAAACAGATGCATGGAGTTTTCTATTCTCTATGGTATCTTTACCATAGAGCTGGTCAAAGCAGAGTGAAGCAAACCTCATCTTGTTGCGAGGATCAAAGACACTAGCCACAATCACTAGAGGATTCATGTTACCTAATCCATCCCAATACTTGTCAAACTTATCTCTCATGGCAGTAGCCATCTTTCTGGTCTCCTCTTCGGGACTGTGAGACTTAGTGATGAGACTCCTCTCAATGTCCACAATTTCATTGTAACACAAAGTGGAAGTCACTGTCTTTGATGCAGAGAAAGTGACAGTACCCTTGTAAAAGACTTTAAGAAACTTCACTAACCTTGAAACTTTATCCCAATCAGAAGAAGTTGGTGGTCCTATTCTTTTAGTCTTGGTCTCCTCCTCCTCCTCTTCCAAGAAATAAGCACAATATAGCTTATCCTCAGCTTCCATCTTCTCAAAAGCAACCCTCAGCTTCAAAGCTGAGTTCAACATCAGATATGTTGAGTTCCATCTAGTGACAACATCTAATGGCAAGTTGCCTCTACACAACTTTGATGTCTCACACCTCAATGAAAAAGACTTCAGCCTACTAAAGTTTGACCTGGCATACTTAACTGCATTCCTAACTGCAACAACTTCTCGCTTTGCTTTCTTCAAACCATCTCCAACAATCAGATTGAGGATGTGTGCACAGCAGCGCATATGTATGAATTTACCATCCTTAACTAAAGCTTGTAATCCTATCAGCTTAAACGCTTCCTTAAAAGCATCCAAAGCCTTGTCATTGTTCCTAGCATTATCAACTGTAATTGTATAAACCTTCTCAATTCCCCATTCTTCTAAACAATCCAGCAACTGACCTGCTATGGTATCTCCTTTATGATATGTGATCACCTTAAAGCTGATAATTCTCTTCTGCAATTCCCACTCTGTATTAACCCAGTGACCTGTGATCACCATGTAGTTGAAAGAAGTAATAGGACATGTCCATATGTCTGTAGTCAGCGACATCCTTTGTTTCTCAACACGAAACAAAGTCTTTAAAGCTTCCTTCTCTTCCAAATACATCCCAATTATGTCTTAACTGCATGTCTTTCTACAAAAGGTCTTGTACATAGGCAAGACATTGAAACAGAACCGCTTCCAACCCTCAGATTCTACAAATGAGAATGGCAATTCATTGACTACTACCATCTCATTAACTGATCTCCTAAACAAATGCGGATCATACTTAATCACCTTCAGATTCCCTTTGTTATCACCACTTAGAACCTTCTGATTTTCCTTATCTACCCAATCCTTGTAATGTTTGCATACTTTTATGTGACCAATCATTAGACTAGTACCAACCTTTTTTGAATCACAACCAATCTCTGCTAAACAGTACTTACAGTAGCTCTTAGTAGGATCTTCTCTTTGCAGAAAATGTTCCCAAATAGAAGCTTTTTTTGCATACTTCTTCCGGGGTTTGGGTGGCTTATCACCACCAGAGGCAGGCCTTGGACGTTTCTGCCCAGTTACATCACTTTCAACTTCTTCTGTCGTCTGAGGTTGAACAGGAGGTTCAATATCTTTCTCGACGTTCACGTTCTCCTCTTCTGGCATCTACAGAATATATAAACAAAGTATAAACAAAAGAGGTTCAGTCAAACAATCTATAATCAATGACTTTCAAGTATAACAAAGGCCGAACCCTAAATTTCAGGACGAACAATGGAATCCAAAACCCTAACATTCTCACAATCGAAGATTTGAGTAACATTAGGGTTTTGAATCCCAATTAATCATCCAGATATTAGCAAGTCGACATTAGCTTATTAGCTACCAAGAAGAACGAAGAGCTGACCTCTAACGCTATCTCGGTTACGGGTTGAATTTCGGAGAAATGGGAGTAGAATCACAAAGGTATGAAGATGATGAATTGATGAAGCTAGGAAGATGAGATGATGTTTAGATCAGAGCATAAGGATGAAAACTGATGAGATTAGGGTTTAGGATTCCACTCTCTGTTTCGCATGCGGCAAAGGCGAAGAAGAAGAGAAATGAAATTAGGGTTAATGTCTTAGGATTAGGCTTATATAGGTCTGCTGCGAATGGACTTAATATTGCTAATGGGCTACATAAAACCTAATATTGCTAATGGGTTACATAAAACCGATCGGGCCGATTACCGAACCGATCCGACCCGAAAACCGACCCCCCAAATAATTGATTCCGTTCGGTTTGGTCTCCTCAATTCGGTATGTCCCGATAACCGAAAATTTTGGGTTCCTCGGGTCGGTTTGCTCGGTTCTTACCGAAATCCCAGGGCTACTAATTGGTAGTCTTTTTTTTTGTCGGCAATTTGGAAGTTCAAGTAAATGTAATTGTTAAACTTTTTATAATATATAAGTATGATGTGAAAAAAGGATAAATTTGTGAAGGGTCCATTGAAATGTGTTATATAATTTAATTTAGTTGAAGCCACGCTTATTATCGTGATTATTATGATTTGACTTCCGTGCTATATGACAAATGACAAATTCCTAAGCCACTACAAACTGACTTTTGAGTTATTTTAGTCCGATAATGATATAACAATTCTGACCAAAATGATTTTTATATTTTTTACACTTTTAGAGGTTGAGACTTAAAGAAGTTCAAACATATGTTTATGGAACATATTTGTATGGGCTTCATAGCGCAAGCTGATAAAAGTCCAGTCCAATGGGTGATATGGAGTTTAATTACAATTTGGTATTCGTTTTTATTTACCTATAATTTTTTTCTTAGCATTGAATCATTGATATATCTACCGGTGTTCTAAAATACGTTAGGCGGTAGTCGGGCGGTGAATCACTGTATAGCACCTAATTGTATATGCGAGATATATACGGTGAATATATTATTATAAATATATATATATATATATATATATATATATATATATATATATATATTTATATAAAATATAAATATATTGCAAAGATATATAATATCATTAAAGAACAATTGTAAAAAAAAATAAAAGGAGTCGCACGTTAAACTCCAACTCTCGAAAAAATGAAAACATAATGACAACCGTATTTAAATAAGCAGCACCGTATAAGTAGCCGTATTTAGCCGTATAACGCTGCATAATGACCGTATTGAGCCGTATAACGCCGTATAATGGCCGTATAACGCCGTATAGCGCCGTATAAGTGGTCGTATTGATACCAACCATATTTATTAAACGCATAGCTTAAAAACAGTACAGTAGTCTGCCGTATAGCGTATAGCTACCGTATATACGGCCGCCTAGGGCGTATTTTAGAACACTGCTATCTACACATGTACATACATAAATATTGCTATTTCTAGAGATGAACAAAAATCCCGAAAAAAACTGTAGAAATATTAAACTGAATTGGTTAACCGAAACTTTGTTTATAAGCTTATTAATTTCAATTATAGAAAAACTAAAAATGCAAAAAACCTCGAATTGAAACCAAATTTAATGTATCCAAACAAAAGCAGCCCGAAATAATTTTTGATTTTTCTTTCAATTCAAATTTGCTATTAAAATTGCATTAACACGATTGCAAGAGTGAAAATCCATCTCTAAAGTGTCCTTAATTTTGCCCAAGCATCCGTGGTCTAGTGGCAGAGGAAGCTTTGGAAAAGGGTGAAACTCCCAAACCTGAGTTCGATTCTCCCTGGAAACAAAAACACATTTGTTTGGGAAGTCTGTCAGTTGGACCTTGGCCCAATTGGTTTACCTGGTAGCCAGAAATGCAGGCGGCCTGACTACCTCCTGGCACTTAGTCGGAAGGCATTCCAAACTCGGGATAAGCAGAGTGGTAGCCCGTAAGAGCCTAACCGTTAACACGGTGGACCAGTCCACTATGTAGCACCTCGGTGCGTTCCTACCGGGGCCGACCGGATAGCCGATAGGGTTTATCAAAAAAAAAAAAAAAAAAAGTGTCCTTAACGAGATAAGAGTACTATTGTCAAAGAAAAGCATAATAAAAAGGAAAACTACAAACAAACTTAGCTACAGAATCATCACATTGGTTTGTCTCATGGCTTTTAAAGGAGCAAATGTGGTCTACAGTTCGATGTTATTTCTCTTTAGTCTCCTTTGTATAGGTCTGTAGTCTTGGACACTCTTTTGAATCATCTATAACTTCCATTAGTTGCTTTTAACGCTGTTAAAATAGACATCTTCAAATCCAAGGTTAAGTACAAGACATGGTCCATATTAGTGTTCTAGCCTCTGCTTCCAAGTTGGACACCACTTTTGGGGAAACGTGTGCTGCACTTAACTTCATACTCATCATCCATCCGTAGTACCCACCCATCCAATAATACCACAAGTGTTGTTTAAATTTTCTACTTTCAGTATATTTTAAATAAATAATAATGTAATATAAATGAAATTTTAATCAGCAAAACTTCCCAACTATCAGCTGTCTATTTTAAATCACTCAGTTAAATTATTAATAGCAACGCTTCAAAAAAGGAATTTTGATTAAAAACTCTTCAAGTATCGAGTGGTCCATTTTACATCAATCGACGTATTAAATTATTTATTAAAAAAAACACATCAAGTATAGATAGATCTGTTAATGAAATAACTACTGCGTCTATAATTCGTCTAAGAATATGATCTATAATCGATATTTTGCGTTTTTGCTTGTTATAA